GCATGTTTTGAGCGAAAGAATCGTAAAACCTATTCAACTCGAAATTGATACTGTTGTTTGCTTCGTTCAGGAAAAGAAAAGTACAGTTGGGTGTCATCCGCATAAAGATGATAATCACAAAACTGTAATGATTTAATCCCTTTTTAACAACTGTAGACCTAGAGGTTGATTCATTAAGTATCACTTTTTGTGTCTAATCATTTAAAAAGGATGATACAAATCATGTCAAAGGCGTTACTAAATCAAATAAAACTAAGGCAGTAATTTTGTTAAAAATGTCATTTATTACATCTGCAAGAGCGCTGTCACAACTATAACCAGATCTAGCATCTGATTGTTTTGGCAGCAAAATACTGAAAATATTGGGAAATCCTTTTCTTTCTTTGTCCCTTATCTTCACTAAAATCTTAGAGAGTGTAGGCAGAATACTAATAGAACGCAAATGAACTCTGTAGATTTTTTTTAAATTTTAGCCAGGGAAGGACTTGTGCTTGTTTCCACAGTACAGAAAAATACGAGTGCAAAATACATTCATTAATTATATGGACAATACAGCGTGTGACAACAAAGTCGCACAAAAATACTGTTGCTTCCGGTTGCTCTAGTCTTAATAGTGCTAATTATATTTAGCATTTCAAATTGCATACACAACTTAACACTGGTCAAAGAAACTAGAAAAGAAACGAAAATAGATAAGGATCAGAGGTAGTAAACAAAACAACTCTTTTAGTATGGACACGTGCGGAGAATGCGTATTATTATAAAAAAGTAATGGAATGGATACTTCCCTATTAAGAAAAAACGAGTGATATAGAAGAAGTTGTTAAAAAGGCGATGAGCGCCAGAGATGAACAATTTCCATTCGGTAACCAAACGCAATAAAAATTGGGAATCGGACAACGTCGAAAGACATTTCAAATCCCATACAGATATATACAAAAGAAGCTACCACGACCCTGTAATGATTTTAGAAAATTATTATATTATTAATATATTTTATTCTACTTTTTTTTGGCATTTAGTTAAAGCCTCATGACATGAAATATAAGTTTTTCTACTTCCTAAAAAACTCAGTTGCCATTAACTCTTTGCTTTTTTTATTTATTAAACTCCAGCATTATGGGTCAATTTAGGAATGTACATTTAACAAAATATCTCTAGATAATGAAATTGTTATGCGAAGAATGATGTTTGGTCTCGTTAGAAATCGTGCAGAGTTGTTTTGTTTATTTTCGAATTGAAAGTTTTCTTAACCCAAATCTGTAACTCGGTGTTTCCAGCTCGATTAATGGACGAATAAATTAGAACTTACGCACTAAACAAAGGAACCGGTCCCCGTGGAAAATTAAATAATCGTCAACGTTATACAATGAAAAATTGTTCTGGAATCGTACAAATCTATTTCAGGCGCAAAACTGAAATTTATTATCCAAACTTTTCGAAATAAATTCGTTTCGACCGCGCTTCGCTAATCGCAAATCCCCGAGACAAAAGTTTATTTGAATAAACAATTCGTACTTGAAGTTGTTTCGAAACTGCTCAAGGGGATTTATACTGTTTTATAATAAATACGAAGTTTATTCGAAACCTCTGAGCCTTGAGCTTAATATCGACCGTTTAGTGCTTAGATATGTTATGACCGATATTTTTCTTCTCAGGTTTGCAATTGAAGTGTATGTATCTCGTTTACAACAAAGATTGAGTGTTTGTTTTCTTAATATATTTAGTGAAAAGTATTTTTCAATTCATTTCTGAACTACAAAATCAAATAAAGTATTGCATTTGAAACTTTTCTCGTATCTTCCTGATTTCAATTTAGTTTTTGAAACAATACGTTTATTCATTTTCATGATTTTAATTGTTTTAACTATTTTAAAAATTTGGCCATTTTTCTAATTTAATAAAATAATTATATAGCATAATTTAATTTCTTATGTTGCTATTTTAAACAGCAAACTCTCTTTTCCTAAGCGAGACTTATTACGTTAAATTCCATTAACTCAAATCAGACCATATCTCTTGTTATTATGTGAATGTGCTTCCCATAGTAGTCATTGTTTTCCCGAAGTATGATAGGATGTTTAAGAATGAAAATCAAGGGGGACTCCTATAATGTGTTTTTTAAGTTTCGAAAATAGTAAAAATAAACTTTTTGTATTGAAATGTATTAAATTATAGGGAGACTTAATTTTTCTGACCACTTCATGTATTTAATTCATGATATTGTTGCTTTTGAGAATAATTTTTCAGTTCGGGGTTCTATTAATAAAGAGTTTTAATTACGTATTTGGCTAATGTATTCAAGGCAACAAAAGAATGTTCCTCAAAACAGAGAACTGTGTGTTAGCTAATTATTTATTGAACAAAGACCAGTTGGTGCCATTGTGTTTATACGTTTGAGAAATCTTTGAGGTTGTCATTAATATTTCAATTTATCAGAAATAGGGAATTTGGACATAATGTCCGTCTATGTCTACATGTACTTTAATCGACAGTTTTGATTTTTTTTACTTGGTATAGGGTATAGTCGAAATTAATTCACCAAGATCAGTGATCAGTGGGTTATTAACACATAATTAAATTTAAAATTAATAAATTTATTTAAGTAAAAAAAAGTGTAAAAAACTAATATAAAAAAATACACATTTTTTATACTGTTCGGTATAGACATTTAATAAAATCGTTTCATAAAAAATCTCATTTTTATACATTATAGCTAGTGTTTCTATTTGAAAAATTAAAATTTGTAATGTTTGTTTTTAATCATTTATTTATTTTTTATAATATAAGGTTAAATGCTATAATAAAGTCAACTCGAAATATAGAAGAAAGGCTTTTAGTCGGAAAAAACGATAGATATATTTAGAGCAATAAACGTAAATTTGAGTAATACGTCAGACTTAAAATAATGGAGTTGTTTACTTGTTCGCGAAAATACACACATCACACATAATATATTTTTACATTTTTTTCGTAACACCTATATCGGAGATATGAATAAATTTGATATGAAAAAATTATTAAGTAAAATCCCGATGCCAATAATCCCCCTGCGGGAATCATATTTGTAAATAGCATTTACTGGAATGGCTGCAGCAATTTGATAAGTGTTGGTATTGGTATTGGTATTAAAGCCAAGCACTTATGCCACCAGATGGGACCGTTGTGCCCCCAGGCCGCTCTAGAGGGCGTCCAGAATTCCGCCCCTCCTATAGAAGGTCAGCAACTCCTTTAGCCCAATACCGTGCACTGAGTCCGGATCGATCAGGGCCGTTCCGAAGACTCCCAATCTTGCCCATGTCAAGGCAGGGCACTCGGTGAGCAGATGATGAGGGTCTCCCCCCTTCCATGCACCACTTACACTCCGGGTCGTCTCCAATGCCTAGCAAGCAAAGATGCCTCCTAAGCCTGCAATGTCCTGTGTAGGCCCCTGTTAGTGCTCCACATAATATAATATAAACAATGCGAATGTTTGGCTGTTTTAGTTTTGTAAGTAAAACGAAATGGATGAACTACCAGATAATTACGAATGTAAAAGAACCAAAGAGAATAATGTGATCCTCTGCAAACTAATGCTTTGCTTTTCACAAAACTTCTGTATTCCTCCTGCGTCGGTTTTTGCTTAGTCGAAATTGCTGACGTTTCACCAATCATCCTGTCGGCTTCTTCAGAGCTTGACTGAAACTGTTCAGTTTCAGTCAAGCTCTGAAGTTTTGTAAAAAGCATTACAGTAGCCGGTGGAAGTTTCTTTGAAAAATTCGTATATTTTCTTAAAATTGTTAGTTGAATTATTTTAAAGCGTAAACAAATTAGACCTTAGCCCAACTAACGATATTTTTATAGCAACTTTCTAATTTCATAAACGTGATCAGTATAGGATGAACATTACCGCAGAGCTACAACTAAATTTGCCAGTAAGGTCCATATATTCTTAGGGCTATATTACATTCTGTTAATAAAGATGTCGTGCCATTTTCCCTATTCGTATTGAACTTTTTTAGAGTGATTTGTTCCAATAATTATTTTAACGCTTGCTTATTTCAAAAAGTAAAAATGGTGAACCTTAAAACAAAGCACCCTGCCAAATAGTAGTTTCTCTAATTTCATACACGTAATCAGTGTAGGATATATCCACCCAGAGCTACAACTAAATTTACCAGTTAGGTGAATATATTTTTGAGGAATGTGTATATTAAATTTTTTTAATAAAAAATGTTCTATTTTGGTTATTGGTTAGTGATTTTTTGCAATAGCTAGATCGTAGCGTCTAAGTTTACTTTGAAATTATAATAATCGAACTTATTATTTTAACTCTAGACGGGTTTCTTCGGGTCAAAGGGGTAAAGTCCCGATCATGTCGACAGTTACCATAACCCTACAACCACCCTATTAGAAGCAGAACAATCTGCAAAAGTAAACAAAACGGGCACGCACAGTATTATCGTTACAAAACGGTCCAAACATTTTGTACCGCGTGTGTAAAGTATGAACAAAGCGGCAAATTAGTTTTGCGGTCGGGATCTGTGAAATCCGCGCGTTCGTTGTGTAATTAAAACTTTCCCGTTTAATTAGTAAGGCATTTAATATTATCCCTTTACCGAATAAAACAAAATATTCGACCACGTTAATTGGATATTCGCCATTTTTGGCCACTCGATATAAATCGTGCAGACATTTGCGTGTTAATTTTTGTTCTATATGGGAAGTGCGACAGAAATACGTAGCAATTCTGTTTGGAGTTAATTTTTGCTAAATCGTGCAATTAACGGTAACGGTCAACCAATTTTAACCACATTATCGTGTGAATATCTTTCTCATAGTAACCACTATTTTTTCGATAGGATGTTTTGGAATGTAAACCAAAAAGAACTCTTATGACACCGCAAAAACAATCATACTTAATAAAACTCTAAGGCCGGTCCAGACACTCCGTTTTGCACAACGTTTTGTCTCCGCAGTTCAAGACGTTGTAGACAAAACGTTGCGTGTGGACCGGAAAACTGCGCAGTTTTGAGTCCGTCGGGAGGACTGCACAGTTGCAGCGATAACTGATCTCGTGAGCTCTGAAAACCGTGACCTGCGCAGACATGTCGTTGCGTGTGGACACTTACTCCGTTTTCCAATCCGTTTTGTTCCTCAGTTTTCTCTAATCATCCGACCATGGCAGATCTGCGGCAATGTTCTCGCGAGTTTTTGACGGATTTTATTTCACATTATGAAAGTTTTCCGTGCCTTTGGCGAGTTAAATCTAAAGAGTACAGTGACAGGGACAAAAAGGGGGAAGCGTACGAGAGATTGGTTGAAAAGTTCAAAGAAATAGATGTCAACGCGAGCAGGGAGACAGTGGTGAAGAAAATCAATTCTTTGAGAAGCGTTTATCGCAAAGAATTGGCAAAGGTAAACAAATCGATTCGATCTGGGGCTGGAGAAGACGAAATTTACAAGCCATCTCTGTGGTATTTCGATTTGCTGCATTTTCTCAATGATCAGGAGACACCAAGGCCGTCGAGGAATACCATGGACGAAAGTGAAGAGTCTGTAAACTGCGACGAATCATCACAACTGGTAAGAAAAAAAACAACAAAATTTCCTATTATTACCTAATCGCTTTATTAACTGAAACATATTCTTTTATTTAATAGGTACAATCAGCTTTTACAATGTTTATTACAAGTGTCTACTAAAAAATTACAAGTACCAAATAATTATTTATGTACGCCATTCATTGTTTAAAGTTATAAATCTATCTTGCCAAGGAACAGACCCCTCATTGTTCAAGTACTCCTTGAAATGATCTCTGACCCCGTTAGCATTGTTCAACATGTGGCCTCTTGGTCCACGCTGTAGGTCGTGCACTAATTCTGGGTTACATCTTTCACCTAATTGAACAGTACATTTAGAAATATTTTCCTGATCCATACTTTCTGGAGGGGTGTAGTTTTGGGGGGACTTTCTCCGCAAAAAGTTGTGTAAAGCGCAACACGCAAGAACTACAGTATCGACGTTGTGCATCTTTAAATTAATACTTGTGTGGAAAATACGAAATCGGGAAGCCAAAATGCCGAATGTGTTTTCAACAACACGCCTCGCCCTAGATAGGCGGTAATTAAAAATTCTTCGGTCCCTTGTTAATGTTTCTCGTCGATATGGTTTGAGAAGGTCTGGACGCATAGCGAAGGCTTCATCCCCAACAAAAACATATCTTAAAACTCTGTTTGAACTTCCAATGGATCGGGGTTTTGGAATTTTTAACTCGTTGTTAACGAGTTTTTCATAAAATTGAGTGTTATTTATGACTCCTCCATCTGAGATCCGACCGTTTGTTCCTATATCACAATACAAAAACTCGCAATTGGCATTGGCTATTGCCATAAGAACAACACTGTGTGTTTTTTTGTAATTGAAATAATAGGACCCACTTCCTTTAGGTGGCACAATTCTAATATGTTTTCCGTCAATTGACCCTAAACAATGAGGGAACTGCCACATTCTTTCAAACTCCGCTGCAACTTCCATCCACTCCTCTTCAGTCTTGGGAAACTGAAACAAAACAAAAAAAGAAGAAATATTGCAAGAGTTTCATCATTGAAAATTTGTAAAAATAATAAAAATATGGAGATCAATAATACATTTATTGTTTAATATTTTCAGGTGGAAGACGATGTGCAAGAAACTGTTATTGACAGTGGGCCCAGTGAAGCTGCTACTACCCCTGCTACTCCTGCTTCCGAAGCATCTACGAGTACTTCCCATTCTGTCAATACCTCGCACAAGTTAACTCGTAACAAGAGGAAGGCTGTTGGGAATGATGATGGCACAATTGAAGTCCTGCAGGTGATAGGGAAGAAACTGGAATCGCTACAGGCAGATGATGCATTTCAGGTATTCGGAAAACATGTGGCTAATAAACTCAGAGAAGTCCCAAATTCACAAAACATAATTGCTCAGAAACTAATTTCCGACGTTTTATTCGAAGCTGAGTTGGGTACGCTTACCAGAAATTTTCGAATTGTTGACATGAAAAGCCAGCGACAAGATGATTTTGGTTCAATGAATGCCACGAATTATTGGCCTCAACAGAATACGCCACATCAAATCAGAATGCAACAAAATCTTTCTTCACAAGTTGGACAATACCACTCCTTCTCGCAGCAGCCGCAGCCTATGCCACATAACTACGCCCCAGAACAAATACCTCACACTCAGGAGTATGAAACAATTGGGAAAATTCCGGCAGTTTCATGCATCATCCCACAGCAAGGTGAACAAGATATACAGACACGCGCCCACCAAGCCCCTGCCCACTCTCCCGTTGGAACCTACTTGTCATCATTTCAACCAAACTGAAGTATACTTGCGTGCATTTCTATTGCTTACCATAATAACTTTTCTACAATAATAAAGTTTATAATGTTCAATTAAATAATAAATCGTTTATGGAAAATAACAATATTTCTTACCTTCAAGTAATCCTTCTTCAGCACCTTGTAGATAGCTTCACATGTTTCGGGAATGATTTCACTTAGCGATTGTTTTGATATAATTGTTGTGAACTCCAGGTCTTTGTAACTTCTGCCGGTTGCCAAAAATCTTAAAGTTGCTGTTAGCCTTTCATGTGGTGATATTGCTGCTCTCATACAAGTATTTTCTTTCTTGATATGCGGTGTCACTAATTCCAATAAGTAAATATACGTGTCCATGTCCATTCTCAAGTAGTTTCGCCAATCATTAGGTTCGTCACGTAATTCACTCAATAATCTTATATGGGAAAAGTCCCGCCTTTTTAAAAGCCATTTCCGTGACCATTTTGAACGAACGGTTCCTCTGATGTGTTCCAATCTTTTTTTTTTTTACAATACAGCAGGCGAAAATTGACCACAGGAGAACCTCCTCCATGGCGATATCACACAAAACTGAGCGGAAAATACAAGACTGCACCGTCAAGACTGTACCGTCTGGACGCTCAAAGTTGCAACGGTTTCATTCCGTCTTAAAACTGCGCGGATTTAAAACGTTGTGCAAAACGGAGTGTCTGGACCGGCCTTTAGAAGGTGTCGTATTTTTCTACTCCCGTCTGTAAAAAAACCTAATTACGCACCGATCTAGCGTGCGGGAAGCGTCGCTTTACCACGCCAGTTTCGTTTCGCACGAATCCGAGCCACTTCGGATATTTCCGGGATTTTACCGCACGGGTTTGGGAGCAATCGGATGTTTTCGGAGATATTTCCCATGCTTCGAATTTTGACGTTTGTCCATTCTGACAGTCATGTCAGTGAATGTATTCGTGTTTTGCTAAAATGTACCCAAAGACTAACGGTCCTAGAAAAAGTATAGTATGCAACACGTTCGGTAAACTTTTTAACTCGTTTACCACACTTTTTGCATAATATACTATTGTTGTACTACACTAACAATTCATTTTTCCTACTAGGTTATGTTCGGTGGCATTTGATTAATGGCATTGCTCTTTCCAAAAAAAAAAAAAAATAGCAACGTGTGCGATCACACGTTGCTATTTTTTGTTCCATTTTTGTGTAACAAGTTTTATTAATAATGAATTTTAATTGCTATTTCGCGAATTTATTCACGGAGCCAAAAGAATATCACAACAAGGAACTGTTTGGTTAGTAACTTAGATACCAAATTAAAAAAGAATTGGGGAACGACGAATTATTTAATGAATAAAGTAGTAGTAAATGGACAATGGCGCCATATCCATTGTGCCTTTACGTTTGAGAAATCTGTAGAGGTTACCATCAATAGTTAAATAAGTACCATTTTTGCTAAATAACAATAATTGTTCAATAAACGGTATTCTTATTCCCCAGTTTTAACCATATGAGTTATCAAGTTAATGAAGCACTTCGTCTTGTAGCTAGGAAGAAGTTCAGCTGGGAAAGCCGCCATTTATATTCTACATGCAGGCGACGCTTCGACGAGATAGGATCTATATAGTGATACACTTTTTATTGTATTTTCACATTTTATAGTAGTTGTCACCTTTTTTGGAGTTGTTACTATCCATTTTCCATCTTGAATTTTAAAAACTTGGGTTTCTCTAAGTCGGACTTCATAAGTTTCAGTTACATTAGGCCTACGGAACCTGGTAGTCGGTTCTTTAAATAAGTAATGTACGCCCTTTACATAGGTATTGATTTCCTTGTAGTTCAATACATTTTTGATCCATAAAAGTATATTTGTTCTCACTTAGTATAAAGTATCGTTTTAGGGGTATATTGACATAAAATTCAAAACAAACAGCGGTTTCTGTTTTTTCAAGTATTTCATATATTAAATTATACATAACATTCAATTGGTGTATGACTATATAGATTTGAAAATATTCAAAGTCGTTCGATTGTTCTAATGCTATTTTCTTAAATGTTTCTTAGATTTGCAGCATTTTTGATTTTAGGACAATTTGGTAATGTGAAACATTTGATATTGCCTTATGAAACACATTGATTGCCTTTTCTAATAATTTTATTTGGTTAATGGAATTGGTTTTTAGTTTATTTTGGTTTTCTTGCAGTTCCTTAATTTGTGTTTCATGTTTTTCCGCATCAGTTTGATCTAAATTACCAGTAATACATTTAATAACAGAACCAATTGTATTCAATAAGTCGCGTTTATTTCTTAGTTCAGCAGAGTATTGTTATTATTTTTTAGTTTTTTTTTAGCAATTTTGCTTGATTCTGAATTATAGCAATTTTTTTTACAGTTCCAAATTGATCTAGGGTAATCGTTTATCTTGTAGAATTCTACGTCGTGTTGTTCCAACGAATCCGAGCCATCTGGAACAGTATTCACAATTTTAGTCACATTAACGTGAATTGTTTTTTTTTGTTTTCTCGCTTTGGATCTCTTGTTATTTTCTTGAATTTCCGGAATTGTTTTTATTTAATTTACCTGCTTGATTTTCGATACGTTCATAAACTGTTACACCGGTTTGAGGTTCAATAGGTTTTTTCTTTTCGTTAATTTTATCGATAATTTTTTGTCTCTTAATTAGAGAGCTATCATGGTTTTTATCATACAGGAGTATTGTATTTGTTTGGTGAGAATTAACATATTCAGAATAAACTTGTGAGGGGATTAAAGTTAAAAGGTCTCTTGTATCAGTGTGTCCCAGTACAAATTCAAAAGGTGTATAATTTGTGCTTGAATGTATAGTTAATATAGGCAATGATTGCATAGGGTCAGGCGAGGCTTATGATGGATGGGCCCGCCCTCCCTCGGATCAAGGAGCTGCTTAGACTGACCAGAAGGGAGTGTAGAGCACTAACAGGGGCCTACACAGGACATTGCAGGCTTAGGAGGCATCTTTGCTTGCTAGGCATTGCAGACGACCCGGAGTGCAGGTGGTGCATGGAAGGGGAGGAGACCCCGTATCATCTGCTCACCGAGTGCCCTGCTTTGACATGGGCAAGATTGGGAGTCTTCGGAACGGCACTCATCGATCCAGACTCAGTGCATGGTATTGGGCTAAAGGAGTTGCTGACCTTCTAGGAGGGGCGGCATTCTGGACGCCCTCTATACCATATAGAGCGGTCTGGGGGCACAACGGGCCCATCTGGTGGCCTAAGTGCATGGACGCCCGCGAGGGCGCCCCCCTTTAATACCAATACCAATACCAATTGCGTAGGGTATGAGCTTAATTATTTCAGATTTATTATGGGATTTTTTGACTAGCCCTAAATATTCTATTAGATTTGAATGAAGTCTTTCTGTAGGGGAATTAGATTCGTGACGATTTGGTGATGTGAATTTTTATATTATGTATTTTTAATAAGGAGTTTAATACATCATTTTCAAATTCAGTTCCATTATCTATAATAGAAATATTTATCCTCCTACGTGAAATGTATCGATATGAATGATTTCAAATGGTTTAGATAATGTTTCTGTAAGAATCAACGGTTGATGAGGTTGTTTTCGGTAATATTTTGCTCGTTTACAAATTTCACAATCGTTAGTATATGATTTTAAGGATCCCCAATAATAATTACTTGTTAGGAATTTAGATGTTTCATCGATGCCTCTATGATTTGTTTTTCCTTCATGTTTATAACGAATTAACATTTCTCCTTCTTCTGGGTTAACATTATTAATAAATTTTGTACATTCCATTATTTTACATTATTGAAAATGCTTTGTTACAAAAAAAAGTGAACATATGTTTTCATAGTCTTTAGATGTTCTTCAAAGAATTTAGTCAAAATAGTTCAATTTTCGGGAATTATTGCATTCGTAATGTTACGACCATTAAAATTTTCGGTTTTATATTTTATACAAATAGAATAAGAAGTAGTTGGTTGTGTTTATTGTTGATTATTTTGTCTAATATGGGAATTTTCTGGAGGGATTCATTTTAATTTACGTTTACCAGATGCGTCTGCCTTTTTTGACATTATCTATATGGCGCTGTTTATTAAACACTCGCTCCGCTCATGTCAAATAAACTCATGAGTCAAATGCCGTTTACCGCACTTGTTGCATAATATACTATAGCAGCTGGTTTAATACTCATAGTGTGAGAAAATAAATCAATTATTTTTTTCACTGCTATTTTAACCTTTTGTGAAGTTCTAGGGGGAATTATAATTTCAGAATAAGTTTTTAGATACTTTCTTATTATGTATTTTTCCAATATGGTGTTGATAATATAAAGGAATTATATAATATTATATAAGGTGTTTCAAGTTTAAAATCACTGATATTTATTTTCGCATGTATTTATTTCAAGAGGTCTACTCCAATGAGTCCGTAAAATTTTGTAGGTAAATTATAGAGATAAAATTAATGTACTTGATCAGGGCAATTAAATGAAAGTAATAGTGGAATGGTCATTACTACTACTACTACTACTACTACTGCTACTACTATGCAATTCGGAAAATATTTATACGCTAATTCTGGATTAATAAAGCTTTTTGCGCTACATGTGTAAAATAAAAAGTCGTTGATTTCTTGGAAATAAATTATAGGCAAATCGGAATGTTTATAACCATTCAGGAATATACAGGTATTATTGAATAATCTCTAATCTAATAAAGTCGTTAAGACTCATGTAACAGTTGTAACGTTTCAGGGAAAATTATAAGTTAAGGAGATAATTATTTATTTTTTTAGTAAATTAGTTTATTTTCCTTTCTGTCCGTACTTACTTGAATAAAAAAATACTTTAAACCACACTTATTACATTATAGATCCACAAAAATAAAAACATTTTAATGCCGATAAGTCATAAACCGATAGTGTTAGGCGGCCTAAACAAGAGCATGTTTTCTATGAAAAATTTAGCATTCTTTCCGATTATCATCATGTTTCGAACATAAAAAAATCGATTTATCTAAATAATGCTGTGAAACTAGCGGAAGTTGCGAATTTTTATTATTATAGTATAAACAATGTGTGTCTGGTGGCTGATATCTCCAGTCTTTATGAATCACCCAGTATAATTGAAACTGCTTTTGTAGACCTTTACATTTTTCTAAACGCATTAAAACATTGTTTCAAAATAATAATAATTAAGAGAGATATAGTACATTACCAAATTGTTGCGTCCTCTAAAACTGTTTGTTTTAAATTGAGAAATAGTTGTTTCTTAAACATCCCGCTAACTTTTATCAATCACGGCTACTTGTCTGGCCCCGAAATCCAGCTGCATCATCATCGGACTTACGTCGTTTATCAAATTTATTTTCGGGGTCGTGTTATTTATGGATCCCGCGGACCAATTAATTTGGGGCGGGTTTTAAGAAAACGCTTTCCTTAATTACATATTAATTCAAGAATCATTAATAAAAAAGATTGATTGCGGAGCTTTAAATATTAATTAGCGAGAGAGAAATTCTGTCCCTCTTGAATTGTTAAAATGTACTATTGAATTAGCGCAGGCAGTTGATTCTAAGCAAATGCTTGGAAAAAGTTGAAAGGTGCTCCGAATAGAGAGGCTGCAACTTACTAAGTATATACTCTGATTATGGGAATTCGGGAACAATTATTTGATAACGCTGTAAATTAATTTCCATGCA